GATGGGTGGATGGATGGATGGATAGATGGATGGATAGATGGAAGGATGGATGGATGGATGGGTGCATGGATGGATGCATGGATGGATGCATGGATGGATGCGTGGATGCATGGATGCATGGAAGGATGAATAAATAAATAAATGGATTGAGAAACAATATAGCATACCATAAACAAAACATCCCTCAGTGAACTGGACGTGATGTAAATATCAATAGATTATTAATAATCTTATTTTTTGTAATACTATAGGCTGTATTAGACAAGTGTTTGACAGAGTCCATGTGCGTGGATACTGACATTAACTACTCGGTAGGTCTCGCCTTATTCTCTTCAAGGATTTCTGAAAGACAGCACAATTTAAAATTTGAATTTCTAAATAAATATTCCGAGGCCGAGGAAAACACTGGATCGAGTTTGCATAACAGTGCATTGTGGGACTGTTTTAGGGAACGAAAATAAACGCGATCTTGGAAATATGTCGCTAAGCAGGGGCGGCGGAACCGGGGGGGCCGGGGGGGGGCATGTACCCCCCCACCAAATGTTTTTTGGGGGGCCTGCCCCCCCAAAAAAATATTGGTTTTTAGTCATTGTTTTACGGCGCATGCGTCTGCAATCAAACAAAACATTGTCATTATCACATAGCGTTAAGTATACTCTTCAGTGCCCCCCCAAAGATTTTTAGCTTCCGCCGCCCCTGCTAAAACAGTACCAGAATGCACTGTAATGYCAAATCAACTCAGTCTTTTCCTCGACCTCAAATCAAAAGCAATCAACACTAGTTGATAAATGCACAATTTTCTTTCCTCATATTTATATATATATATATTGTTTACTGTTGTTATTATTGTTGTTGTTTTTGTCATTTCTTATTTCAGGTAGAATATGATTTTCAGTTTCTTTGTCCACACCCTGATCGAGAGAGAGACAAGGAAGGCAAAAGATACTTTGGTCCCAAGGTAACTAAAATATAGCACAGATACAAGTGACTTCTAAATAATTGATAGTAAATAAGAATGATACAAACTTCTTTTAAGGAGACTGGTCATAAACTGGGCAATAATATATCGTATGTCTGATATCATATCTTATATTTATAATATATCTTATATTTATATTTATATTTATTCTTCTTCAAAAACTTTCATGTCGAATTCGTTATAAAACGACGGCCTTTTTGTTTGCCGCTTTTCCGCACAATCCAAATATGGAATTGATCATACCATATATGGAGTGAGCTTTCTCTACTCCAACTTCGACACTAACATATAGAGTAATACTTGATATGATAAGAGAGATCTTCTGCATTTATCACTGCGAGTGTTATTGTGAATACAGGTGATGTTGGATAATGGCAGAGAAGAACTTCTACGTCATCCTGTGACGAAAGCGCTGATGGGGACTAAATGGTGCGTTATCTTGCTAAAGTCTTTGAAAAAAGTAGTTGCTTGAAAGAAGGGAGCACGTTAAAATTTTGATTGTGTTGGTTTATCTTCGATTTTATCGCACGTATTCTAAGATATAGCAGGCGTTGCTTTAGTCGGGCTAGCGAATTTACTCCGAAAACCGAAGAATATCTTGCGAGGAGCGGAGCGACGTGTAAAAAGGGATTATCCTATTACACTCGTCATTCCCTTCCTTACACGATCGTAAGCCATTCGGATCGGCCGAAATCAAAACACTACGAGGAACGCCTGTCACAAGATGGATTGCGCGCGCTAGATAGATCAACCAAGAACAATGACTTTCCTTACACAAACAAAATTTTAATGTGCTCCCTTGCTTGAAAGAGGTAGTTTATCTGGAAGAAGTTGGGCACTAGTAATATGCATGGATGCACGGATGACTTGCTGGCAGGATGCGGCTAGCTAGATGCAGGATTATTGATTATGTTATATAAAATAATTGGGATACTACGCGCGCTATGATTGGTCGAAAACCATGTTCGATGAGAGTATCAAAACACGCTATCGTCATTTTTAATCTATCGCGCGCGCTCATTGGTCAGTTTGAATAAGACGGCACGTAGGGAGAATTTACTTAGACTTTGCTTTTTTTCGATCTTTTCGCGCGTTTGTTATCTTATAAAACAGGTTTCCAGCTTCTCGAGTGTTCTGCAAACATCCCGCGTGTTTTGATCAGAGTATCAAACACGGAAAACTGTTTTTGATCTGTTAATTATTGATAATATACTTATTTTAATATTGTTTTAGGAGAAAAGTCGGAGTAAACTTCTTCTACCTTGGTGCACTTGTTTACGCCATCTTTGTTGGAATATTCTCGCATTACATGTATGTCATGCATGTGTATGAATCTGCTCGTCGAAAAAGTGGAAAAAACGAAACCATTGATAACAACGTACGTTTATTATTAAAAAGAGAGATAGAAAGTGCGCCCGCGTGCCTTGTGCTCTCATAACTAACGCGCTCCCAACCAATCATAACGCGTGATTTATAACAGTTATTTCATTACTATCTGTAGAAAGACATAAACATGACACGAGTGAAAAACGTCTGCGCATGCTCTGAATCCGTATGCAAATTAGTCAAAACATAAGTAAATTTGACTTTCAAACATGCCTGATAAATTGGACTTCACAAAATGCCAAAGCTTAGTGTCCATGCTTGAAACTTAAGACTAATGTTAATACAGTATCTTGGTCTGACAAAAGTATACTCTCGAACTTTTTTGTATACTTGGAGAAAACAAACATTGATTTTCTCACTCAAACTCTTTAAAATTCTTAGAAAACGTGCTGAAGTGCACGCATGCGCAAACGTTTTTCCCTGGTGTCCATATACATACCAAAAGAACTTTGGTGATAACCGATGTATTTATCAGGGCTTAAATAATGACCGGAAATCGGACAATGTTCGCCCAGAATTAGAACTCATCCGGTCGAATCGATGCCTTGCAGGTCATTTTGACCAGTAATGTTGAGCCAGAAATGAGGTATAACTGAGCTAACAGTTATAACTTACCAGCCGTTATTTTAAGCCCTGCTTATTATTTCTTTTCAGGGTACTTGGATCCAATGTATCCAGTCGTATGAAATTTGCATTGCTGTGTTCTCTATTGCTAATCTGTTGTACGAATGCTATCAGCTTTACACCGAGGTAAGTCATAGCTTTATACACCTCTGACTTTATAATGGAATTCTAATTATGTATTTCATTTACATAGTACGCGCACTCTAATTGGTTGAGAACTGTGCTTTATTAGTGAACAAAGCACGGTTGCTCACGCCATACGCGCGCGCCACATGAGGTTTTTGGCACGGATAGCGTCAGCAACCGTGCTCTGTTCTCTCATAAAGTACAGTTATCGACCAATCAGAGCGCACATACTATGTATAAGAAATAAATAATTAGAATTATATTTGAGGAACTCATAATCTTTTCTTATAGCGTTAATTTTGAAAGTACGCAGCACTCTAGTCGCAGGCTTGTAGTGGTAGCAGCCATAATACGAACCATTTCTAAACCCGAATAACGGTTCCCATCAAAAAGGGTGGGTTTTCTTGGTTGAAGAGAAGGTCCTCGAAGTCTAAACAAGGAAGAGATTCAACCAATAAAACCAACCCGGATGCTACGTCACATCTGGGAATGGAACCCAGGCTACAGTGGTGAAGAGCGAGTACTTGCGCATTACATCTACCCTTGCTTTCTAAACTATTTAACTCAGCTATCAATATCCAAACTGTAATTGGTTTAGATTTAGATTTTTTATTTGGCCGCGATTTGAATGCCAAGGTGCTGGGGTCTCTTTATCGCGTGCAGGAACACTGGATTACCTGCAAAGATATGGGTAATGCTTGCACAAGGATTATACTGCGATGGAAATGTTTTAACTTCGTTAACTCATAAAGAATTTGTTCATTGAAACCCAAAACTCGCTGCGGAAGCTGCAGAATTGCTAAAATGGTCTGACAAAATTAATTGGTCTTTTGTATTATTTTTTTCCAGCGTTGTAAATACTTTGAGTTAACCAACATGCTCCAAGTCTCAACATTTGTTTCCTCACTCATCGCCGTTTATCCCATGAATGGGGACCAATACCTAGACCCATGTATCAGCTGGAACGCGGGTGCTATTGGGGTCATGCTGTCCTATCTTACCATGCTGCAGTTTATACAGTGGTAAGATGAAGAAACCTTTCCCTATACCTCGTTTGTCCTTTGGTATCATCTCTCAAAGTACAATGAACTTTTATCGTGTAATTCCAATACTCACAGGACAGAAGGATAATTTCCATAGCTGGAAAGAGCGTGTCAAAAGTAGTTATAATGTGAAGTGTGACAATGTGACGATAATGTTGGTGGTGGTGGTGGTGGTGGTGGTGGTGGTGATGATGACGATGATGGTGGTGGTGATAAGGATGATTACGATGATGGTGTTGTTGATGGTGATTGTGATGTGATGAAGGTGATGGTATTGAAGATCATGATGATCATGATGATGATGGTGGTGGTGGTGATGTGATGAAGATGATGGTATCGAAGGTCATGATGATGATGGTGATGATGGTGGTGATGTGATGAAGGTGATGGTATCGAAGGTCATGATGATGATGGTGATGTGATGAAGGTGATGGTATTGAAGATCATGATGATCATGATAATGGTGTTGAAGGTCATGATGATGATGATGATGAAGATAATGGTAGTGATGAAGAAAATGATGGTGATGATGATAATGTTGATAATGTTGTAGTTGATAAATGTTGTTGATGATATGATGACTTTTATTACGAAGATGATGATTTTTGCTCTCTTCTACTCTTAGTTTGGGACTGTCGCCTTATCATTTCATTATCGTTTCGTTTCTTTCTTTTTTTYCCCAAGCCTGTTCTATTCTGGTATCTATGTAACGATGCTCTTCGAAGTTTTAAAGTCACTCTTAAAGGTAAGCTGGATTAAAGATATATTAAAGAAGAAGAAAGTCAGACCAAACAGACCTTATTCGTCTTGGTGCAATATTTTCCAATTACAGACTATGCGTCAATTCCTCGAGGATAAGATTCTTTGTTTGAGTTGTATTTATATTCATGTGTCTTTTCGTGTGCAACCGTTAAACAAAGAAATGATACTCTTGGAATGACACGTGGTCTGTAATGAGAAAACATTGCAACACGAAGAATAAGGTCCATTCAATGAACAAATGCTTAAAGCACAGCACACCGTAATCTTGCCTGCCTGTAAAATTACTATACTGTACAGCGAAATGGTGAAAAAAACAAGTCAAGTATCAAAGAGTTTTTGGCAGCAGTAGTTTAAAAAATATCCGTCGCATTTTCTTAGTTAGAATATCTCGTTCGAAAACTGGCAACTTTGCAGTCGTCTGAAGTTTGTTGTTATCACCTTTTTTTGAGGAAAGAATATGGACGCTGTCGGCAGTAGAATATGCATCGAAGTTAGCATATCTTGTGTTCCAAGCCTTCGGGTTGATCAGTTTCCTTACTTTGAATTAATTCTTTATTTACTTTTTTCAACAGGTTTTTGCCGTCTTTTTCCCATTGATGGGTGGATTTGCCATGGTGCTGATGCTGGTCATGGCTGACAGAGTAAGAGAGCTATACTTTGTATTGGTTGCTTGGGTCATCAATATCGTTAAGGGTCATGATTATTACTATTGAGGGGTAAACACCCATGACCCTTCGACCCCACCCCTCCACCCCTCACCACCATGGTTTGACGCCAACCTTTCTCCTGTATTTTGGGGCGAAGCAACTAAAGAAAACTGCATTTGCAATTGCTTTGGGCTTCCTGTATTACAAAAATAGAGGTACTACTTGTAGACCTCTTTACCTTGGGTTTATTGTTGTCCCATTTCAGACCACACTATATGTCATTCCTTAGAGTATTATTGCTTTGTTTAATGATTGCACATGAGAATATATCTCTTTACCTTGGGTGCAATGTTTTCCAATTTCAGACGACATGTCATTCTCTTGCGAACAAAATTCTATGCTTGAGTTGCATCCATATTCATGTGTCTTCGCATCTGTTAAACATAAAAATAATACTCTAGGAGTGACACGTGGTATGGAATATGAAAACATTAGCCCAAATATAGAGAATGTACCTTGAAGATGATTTTTTCATTTGATTTGCGTTGTTCTAGGCTCCCTTTACCGACTTTAGAGAGTCACTGACCAAGGTGTTTGCCATGACAATCGGTGAGATCGAGTATTCCCGATATTTTGTGGATGAAGGCCGCTTACTCAAAGGCACTGAAGAAAACCTCGCTATGTTTGTGTTCATACTCTTTTGCCTCTTGATGCCCATAGCTCTCATGAACTTACTGGTAAGCAGTTTACGTTTTAACTATTTTTGACTGACTGACTGACTGACTGACTGACTGACTGACTGACTGACTGACTGACTGACTGANTGACTGACTGACTGACTGACTGACTGACTGACTGACTGACTGACTGACTGACTGACTGACTGACTGACTGACTGACTGACTGACTGACTGACTGATTGACTGACTCACTGACTGACTGATTGACTGATTGACTCACTCATTCACTCACTCACTCACTGACTCGACTGACTGACTAACTGACTGACTTTTTGCATTCATTTTACAGATAGGTCTTGCAGTGGGGGACATCGATTCAGTGCAGAACCACGCTGAGCTCAAAATGATGGCAACAGAGGTAATGGCTGCCATAACCAGCAAATGTAATAAACTATCAAGGTTGCTGAGAGAGTACCTTCTTTGGCAGTGTATTAAGAATACATAAAGAATGTATCTGTCCATTTGGAAAAAAGGGTAGATAGAATTTCTATACATGGCGCAAAAAATCCATCCATGGCTAAATCCATAGCACCTCCATCAATATAAGCCATGAAGATAACTTTTCAGGTGGCAAAGGACGTTTTCAAAACAATATAACATTTCTCAGCGAGGCTGCAAGAAAGAAATTTGTGCATTATAAATAATACATATTTACTAATATTTATTAATATCATGTTTTTAATTTCAGATTGAAGCTGTTTTTGATTTCGAGGAAAAGATTCCTCTGGTTTTGCGCAGACGCTTCCACAAATCCAAGCTTGTCATCTTTCCAAACAGAAGAGGATTCAACAAAGTTGTTCAGGTATCTCATTAAGAGCACTTTTTTTAGCTACTTTCGGTAGTGCATAACAAAGGGAGTTCGGAAGGGGTCGGGAAATTTAAGGAGAAGCAGAGAACGGTCGTCGATTCCAGATTTCAGTTTCGAAGGCGTGTACTTCTTATTGCTTACTTCTCCATGCTCGTAGTATAACCTACTTCAAAAAAACGCTGTGGGTCGAAGATCTGAAACTATAAGTAGCTTTGTGCTTTTATAAAATACGAAAAATCACATTTCTAACTAGAAGGTTATGCCTCATATTCCAATCTAAAAGGAAACTGCGTTGTTCGACTGTGAACATATTACATTTTGCAGCGTGTTGGTCTCTGAAATAGGTGTATCACAAAGGGAGTTCCAAAGAGATTAGGAAATTTTAAAAAGGAAGCTGTGTTGTTCGACTGTGAACATATTACATTTTGCAGCGTGTTACTTGGTCTCTGAAATAGGTGTATCACAAGAGGGAGTACCAAAGAGGTTAGGAAAGTGTCCCCGATTAGTGTATTACTTGTGATACGCGCAAGACCGACACGATAATAATAGAAGTTTATGTATGTATGTAGGGCCACGTACTTCTTTGCTTGAAATGAAACCTCCGTTGTAATATCTGTGCGCGCGTAGATAATCGGCTGTCCATACCGCATTCCTCTCTATGATGAAGCACATTTTAAAACCAATCAGATTGCGCGTAGTGAGGTAGCTACCATAATAATATGATGGACAGCACAATTCACTGTCATTTACGACTTTGCGCTTGCGCAATTCGGAAGTAGCACAACTTTAAACCAATCAGAGTGTGCCTAGTGAGGTTGCTACCATAATAACATGATGGACAATTGATTTTAATATTCTTCATTTTTCAGACTTGTTTTGGGTGGATCAGTAGCATCAGAGATCTCGTAGAAATACGAAACGGGCGCAAAGCTGACACCAATAATGAAGTAACACGTGATGAAATCAATGAGATACAAGAAAGTCTGAACTTGCACAGTGATAGGTAAGAGACACGTTTCTTCTTAGATACTTTTGCTTACCTTAAGTTCCTTTAAGCCTGCATTATTTTTTCCTTCGTGATGAAACGAAGGGCCATGATGGTTAATGCATCGCGTCAATGAAAACTAACCGAATGACAAAAAAAAAAAAAACAAAAAAAAATCGATTTTGATTCTTAGTGTACTTTTCGTTCCCAGACGCAAAATACAAAAATTGTGCAAGCTCTTCAGACAAATATATCATAAATCTTTCTCAGAATCGCCGTAATTCAACATTCTTAAATCATCGTTTCTTTTTTGCGACAATTAATCTATACATTTTTCGGTTCTTTGGCCCGCCCTGTATGCGCACGCACCCTTGAAACCATAGCGTATGTTATACAACAATCGACGCAGGCACGTGTGCTACGCATGTATAGTTTATCGTAACCTTATTCGGTCCTCTTTTCTCAGGATGTTTATTGTACTAGAAGAACTAAAACAGCAGAGGTTGATGTTGGAAAGCATTGTATCAGCTGTGCACGCACCACATATTCCACACCCTGAAGACAGAGGACACGAAGAAGAGAATCATGATGAAGGCATCCTTGGCAAACTCTAAGAGACAAGGTCAAAACAATTGCCAAAAATGAGAGGGATGAGGCAGGGTGACCCGGTATCCTCCACCTGAAAACGGAAATCATGATTTTGATCTCAAACTTGCTGAAATCGCAGAATAGGCCATTTGAAGGAATTCCTTTATTTAAAAAACTTTTTCTGGATTGCTAATGTTATATCAAAATCCTTTATCAAAATCCCTTTTTTTCTCTTATAAGATGACTTTCGAAGATACGAAGCAGTTGAAATTGAGCTGAATTGATTCGTTAGCAAAGAGATTTATCAGCATGTGAATGTTTGTTGCAAATGGCCTATTGAATGTACTGTCTGTTTGAATGTAAGCTAAACAACGTATTCCA